TCCAGATATGGAATGCCTTGAGAAGCAGTGGGTTCCCCCTCGCTCGAGGGCCCCCTTAAGGATACTTACACCCCTGGGAGTCTGTCACTCTTGGTGACTCTCATTCCTGCCCCTCCCCCTCCAGGTCTTGTTGTTGTCCCACAGGTAGGGGCCCCTGTAGAGAGTGGAGCTTGGGTCCTCCCAAAGTCCCTTGCCAGTGTCCATGGCTTCCTGTGCTTCCTTTCCCCCCGGCTCCTAACAGCAGTTCTCTGGACTCAGGCAGAAAGCAGGGATGGGAGGAGGTAAAGGGGATGGGGTGAGTAGCGTTCAGAAAGCATCCGCTCTGGTGGAGGCTGATGAGAGAGAGAGAGGAGGGTGGGAAGAGGGGAAAGAGGGAGAGAGGGAGAGATTGTGAGAGAGGGGGAAAGAGAGAGAGAGAGAGAAGAGAGAGAAGAGGGTGGTGAGAGGGGAAAGAAGGAGAAAGGAGAGAGGGGGGAGAGAAAGGAGAGAGAGAGAGAAGAAAGTGGTAAGAAAAGGAGTGAGAGACAGATGAAAGGGTGGTGAGAGAGAGGAGAGAGAGGGAGAGAGAGAGAGAGAGAGAGAGAGAGAGAGAGAGAGAGAGAGAGAGAGAGAGAGCAGGTTAAAAGTTCAGCCCTTGTTCTCTGGAGGAAGAAAAATCTGTAGCGCCGGGGACTGTGAAAAGGAACTCTTTTCTCCAACTCCACGGAAAGTCAGTCCAATCTTCCAACTTGTCAGTGATGGAAAACTGCCCTTGGCCCTGGGCTTGGGTAAGGGAGCCTGGGGCTCAAAGGGAGCAGCTGTGAATGAGCCGGAGGGGATTCCAAAAGGCCTTCCAACTAAGCTGGGCTTTTCTTGGGGGGTGATGTTGCATCTGCCCCCTCCCCCCAATCCATTTGCTGACATTTGTGGAGCTCAAAGTGACATACTTGGGGGGGGGGTCCTCATATTGGTTCTCTTACTTCATGACCTTAGCTCAGTGTCTGCTACATAGTAGGTAATTAATAAATGTTTATTGATTGATTGATTCCTGAGACCTTCAGTGACTTGCCGCTTTTCTTTTTTATTGGTAGGGGAAGGTTGAAGAAGGTCAGAGCTGTAATTAGGACACTGAATTTAGAGGGCAATGATGAGAGTTGCAAAGCTCCACAGCAGAGAAATAATAGAGCTTGACCCCTAGTTAACAAGAAATAATTATTTAAAATAGGAAGCCCCTATGTAGATGATGGGCTCTGGGTTTCTTCCCCTGTCCTGCCTTGCTCAGCCTTGCTCTGCTATTCCCCCTACCTCAAATGACAGCACATTTCCTGCGCTTGCCCTGGGCACAATAATCCCTAGTTACAGCTCTGGAGACAACCTCCTTGCTAGACCAGAACTTCCCAGTAAATTTCTGCTTTTAGCCCAGAACAAAAGAGATGATAAACCCCAGGAAATCAACCTCAGGTCATGGAAATGCTGAACAAAAGGTAACCTTGTCACCTTGTCCCCAGGGTCAAGCCTAAGTGAATGTAGGTCAGGTCGCTATCTCTCTTTTTCCAAGAAAGATGGCAGGCCCACAAAAGAAAGGAGGGCATGCCTCTTCCCCCAACAAGGAGGCAGGGCTGATGGAGAGAAAGCTAGTGAAGGGGGAAGGGCAACCCAATGAAAAGGCAGAGATCAATGAAAGTGTGGAAAGGGTGGGGCTAACGACAAGGGCAGGGTCTATATGGGGAGGGGACCGTATTCATATAGACCATTTCTCATTATGGTCCTTTAGATGAGATGGAGAGAGGCAGGCTAGATGACTGAATGGTTAAATGAATCCATAATTGGTTCAGTGACTGAGCCCAAGTTGTATCTCTTAATGGGTTACTGTCAACATGGAGGGAGATGACTAGTGGAGTGCAGCTAGGTGGTGCAGTGAATAGAGCATCTGACCTGGAGTCAGGAAGACCTGAGTTCAAATCTGTCCTCAGACACTTAACTAGCTATATAACCCTAGACAAGTCACTTCACCATGTTTCCCTCAGTTTCCTCATTTGTAAAATGAGCTGGAGAAGGAAATAGCAAACCACTCTAGGATCTTTGCCAAGAAAGCCCCAAATGGGGGCAGAAAGAGTCAGATGCAACTGAAAAAACGACTGAATACCAATACACAGATCTTTAGATAAGACAATTAAAGAAGTGAAAGCTCTAATCCTCACCCTACACACACACACACACACACACACACACACACACACACAGCCCCATTGGAGGAGATGGCAGTGGAAAGAGTGGGAGGAGCTGATGGAAACCTTGGCCCAGGCCTAAACCCTATCCCCAGGCATTTGACTTGTGCCCACAGAGCTGGGATGCAGGAAATTGAGACATATATAAAATTGTCCCTGATGGTGCCAAAAAAAAAAAAAAAAAGACCCGAGACTCCCACGCGCCCCATTTGCTTTACCATGCTACATTTATTCAACATTTCATTTGTGTTTTGTCTTTGCTGGGGAAGATGGGGAGACAAAGGTGACCCACGCTGGCCTCATCAAGCTCTGAATCACAAACAGCTTTAATCCAAGGCAGGATGTGATAGGAGAAACATGGACAAACATGGGAGATTCCACTCTGGGAAGGGCCGTTAAGTGGGAGAAGCATTAGAATGGCTCTACTTAGCCCCCAAGGACAGAAGCAGAGGCTGCAGTGACTGACTTTGGCTTAGTAAAAGGAAACACTTTCTAACAGAGCATTCTCTAGAAGCACCGCGTAGAAAGACAGTGATGTACCCTTCACTGGAGGCTGCATGACCACTTGTGGGGGATGCTCTAACTCTCTTTGGCCATGGCTGACCTAAACAGCCCCTTTTTCTCGCTAAGCTAAATGTGCAGTTCTCTGAGATAACTTCTTGTCTGGGAGAGGAAGGATGAGTAAGAGATCAGGGAAGCCTCCCTGGAGGAGAAGGCAGAGAGGACAGGTCTCAGGAAAGGGAGAATCCTGGAGGGAGGTAAGGGTCCTGGGAGGGCAAGAAGTCTGGAGAGTGGCAGAGGCTGGAGAGCTTTGTGGTTGGCCCTCAAACCAACGAGGTTTCTTTTTATGATGCTTTTAGCCCCAGCACACAAGCGGTTCAATCCTCCTTCTTCCCCTTTGGCTTTTGCCAGCTCCCCTCTTTCTTTCCTCATCATTGCCTTTCCTCAGCCTTGGAGCCTAGAGGATTCCACAGTCATAATTCAAGAGCTGAAAGAGATCTCAGAGGTCGGCTAGTTCAGCCTCTTCATTTGGTTTTTCCAAAATGTTTTTTTTTTTTTATTCTGAGCATAACAAACACTAAGTTAAATGAGCATTAATTTCCATATACAAAACAGAACAGGATAAAGCAATGTACATGAAATGGTGAATCTTTTATTAACAATTTCCATTTACTTTAACATGTATTATAAATTCAACATGCAACTTTCAAAACTGTCCAGCTTATGTGTGTTTCCTTTTGGCCTTTCTTCTGTTCTGTGCATTAAAAAAAATACTTCAAAGACCTTTTTTTTTTTTCCAGTAAGGAGTACGATCCTATAAATACCCCTCTCTCCTTCCTGCCCCAAGTAGAAAAAAGAAAGGAAGAAAAACAAAACTCATAACAAACATGTATAGTGAAACAGAACAGATTCTCATATTGACCATATTAAAAATGTGGGTTTCATTCTACTTTCTGAATCCAATCCCCGTCTGTCAGGAAGTGGGTAGTGTTATTCATTGTCAGTTTTTTGGAATCTTGCTAACCCCTTCATTTTACAGATGAAAAAATAGAGACCCAAAGAGATTAGTTGACTTGCCTAAGGTCATATAGGTAGGAAGCATCAGATATGCGATTTGAACACAGCTCCTCTGAGGCAGTTAGGTGGGCCAATATATAGAGCTCTGGGTCTGGAGTCAGGAAGACCTGAGTTCAAATGTAGCCTCAGACCCTGGGCAAGTCACTTAACTTTTGTCTACCTCAGTTTCCCCAACTGTAAAATGGAGATAATCACAGTACCCACCTCCCAGGGTTGTTATGAGGATCAAACAAGGTAATATTTGTAAAGTGCTTAGCACGAGGCCTGACACATAGTAGGCATTTAATAAATGCATATGCCCTTCCCTTTCCCTCTCCCTTCTGACTCAAAGCCAGTGCTCAATTTTTTTTTAAATCATAAATTTAACAAACATCAACAAAAATCAACATTTCTATATAAAGAAAAACAAAACAGGATTGCATATGAAGCTGGAAATTTGTTACAAATAGCTTGTTTTTTTAAAACTTTTTCTAAAACAAAATAAAACAAACAATATTGTATTAATTAGATGAACAAAATTGCCCCATTTGTGTCAACCCTTCTGAACATTTTTGTTTTCTTCTGGGTATTTTAAAAATATTTGATTTATGCTCTTTTCTCTTTCGCTTTCTTTTGCATCTTTCTGACCACCCACCAACTCACCTCCGTCCACCCCCCCTCCCCCCATTGAAGCCTTCCCTTGTGGCAAATAAGCCTAGTCAAGCAATGCTTGTCTCATTCTTACCAGGGGTTCTTAGCCTGGGGAAAGGGAGGGGAAGTCCGTGAACTTTAAAAAAACTATTTTTTGGAAAACTGTATTTCAAAATAATTGACTTTCTTTGTAACCCTGTGGACTTTAGTTTATGCTCTTAAAAACCTGATTCTGAGAAGGGCTCTGTAGGCTTCACCAGACTGCCAAAGGGGTCCCTGCCCCCCAAAAAGGTTAAGAGCCTCCGGCCTAGTCCATCATCTCTCAGCCAAGAGAGGTCTCCTGAGGCCCTGATGGGTCACTGCTTTGAAGGTGCTCTCAAGGCTTCCCTCTATGTAACTGAGACCTCGTAAGGCATCCTCCAGGTTTACTCATGGGTTCTTTTGGCTGTGCCATACTGCCTTATGAATCCTCTAAGCTGAAGAGGTTTGGGGAGGTGGAGGGTTGAGGTTTGTCGCCAACAGCCCAAACTGCCTCAGGCCTCATTATATCTCTGGTTCCCCTGACCCTGTGTTCTCCTTGCAGAAACGCTGATGGACTCAACCACCGCCACTGCGGAGCTGGGCTGGATTGTACATCCTACATCCGGGGTGAGTTGATGTTTCCATCTGCCTGGAAGGTTCTAGGACGCCTGGACTGTGCATGTGGGTGCAAGACACGCTGCTGCGCTTCCTTCCCCCACCCCATTCAGGGGTCATTATGGACACTCTTCAATCAGTCAGTGAATACACCTTTATTAAGTCCCTGTCTGGTGCCAGCTCCTGGGGATGCAGCGATAAAAACCAAAGTCTCTTCCCTCCCAAAGCTTACATTCTGCTGAGGAGGGGAGGGTGATTGACAACATGTACCCAGATAAATAGATACAAAATATTTATAAAATTAATACAAATTCCGACGCCTTCCTCTCTGGCTCCCTGGACAGCATCACCCCAGCATTGTTCCTGCCTTCCTAGAGTTCTCAGGCTAGAAGGTCCTTAGAAGGCTCCTTACTTTGCCCATCTTTTAAGCCTTTCAGCTTGGAACTGAGGAACGTTCCTGAATGGTAGAACATTGAATGTTAGAACTAGAAGGAACTCTAGAAGGGCTCTCAGAATCTGGAAGTTCAGAGCTCAGAGGGTCCTTAGAACATAGAACATCTGAGCTGGAAGGAGTCTTAGAACAGAAAATGTCAGATCTGGGAAGGCCCTTAGAACAAAGAATGTCAGAGCCTGAAGTAAACTTAGAATACAGAATGTCAGAGTTGGAAGGAGTCTAAGAATGTCAGAGCTGGGGGGACCCTTAGAACACAGAATTTCAGAGGTGTGAAGGCACTTAGAACAAAGAATGTGAGAGCTGGGAGGAACCTTTGAACACAGGATGTCAGAGCTGGGAGGGCCCTTAGGACACAGGATGTCAGAGCTGGGAGGGCCCTTAGGACACAGAATGTCAGAGCTGGGAGGGCCCTTAGAGCACAGAATGTTAGAACTAGAGGAGACCTTAGAACATGAGATGGAAAAGACTTTAGAACATGGAAAGTTAGAGCTGGGAGGGCTCTTAAAGTACAAGGAACAAGGCTCCTAGAGGGCACGTGACTTGCCTAGGGTCACACAGCAAGGAAGTATCAGAGCCCAGGGCTTCTGGCTCCAGGTTCAAGACTTTTGCCGGCACATCATCCAAACTAACCTTGAGCTTTGTAGGCCTAATCTTGGAGGGTCCATCAGTAAATCAATGGAGGGAGACTTGTGTGAGAGTGTAAGTGTTATGAGTTATGGATTTTTTTATTTGGAGCATAAGACCTGATGTTTTCTAAATCATTTTAGGGTCTACCAAGCTCCTTCCTTACATACCCGGGAGGTAGCTAATGCAAGGATTATTCCCTGTTTTCAGATAAAGAACCTGAGGCCCAGAGGGGGAAGTTACTTGCCCAGGGTCACGTTGCTTGTCTTTGGCAGGGCTTTGGCAGTGGTCCCCTGACTTGAGTTCATTCCTCTTTCCTCGATCACTTCGGCCTACAGCCCTGAGCTGCCTCCCTTGGGGGACCCTTACAGGCTCTCTGTCCTTTCCTCTTCCCTCTGTGCTGTCTCCTAGTTCCTGAACCCTCACCACACCCATCAGGCCCAATGGCCTCTGTGGCTACTGGGAATCAGCTGTTGCTTCCAAGACAGTAGAAGAGGGAGGGTCCCCTGGGGCTGGGCTCTTTCCCCCTCTCTCTTTGTGTCCTTCATTTTTCTGATACAGAGCAGGGCCTGCCACCTCCCCTCACTCCCACCCTCGGCCCCCATCCCACCTCCGGCCTAGTAATGAGGGCAGGTCTGGCTGCAGGCAGCCTGAATGCGTTATTTGGGGTGTTTAGTCTGTGAGTCCTTGGCATGTTAATTAGAGAGAGGGGAGAAAGGCAGCGTGCTCTAATTAAGTGCTCTAATTAAGTTCTGAACAACAGCAGCTATAACAAGGGGGTGACTTTGTCACGTGGTGGAGCGATAAGGAAAGGGGGACTCTGGAGGGGTGAGGAATGGGGAGGAGCTTGGCTGGGAAGCCCGCGGGATCTGCTGTTTCCCGATCCCCAGCTTCCCCAGGCTCACCTGCCCTTCCCAACTCCAGCCCCTCAGCCTCCTTGGAGGCCCTACCCCAGCCCTGTCTATATCTAAGCCACCCCTAGGCCCTACCCCACACTAACTAGCACAGCCATCCTCTGAACAAAGCAGGGGTTCTTGACCTTTGTTGTGGGATGGATCCTTCCATGGTCAGTGTCTGGGGAAATCTTTGGAGGTTTTAAAATGCTTAACATAAAACACATAAGCTCATAAAGGAAAACAATTATATTGAAATAAAGATGACATTTTTCCCATCCTGGTTCACCCTAAAATCTATCCATCGACTCCTTGGGGGATGGGTGGACCCCAGGTTAAGAACCTCATGTATTTAGCTGTCTATCCCTGCCAGCTGTCCAGCATTCACAAATGTGAAAAGCCTCTATCCAAGTCACTGATAAAATTATAGAACAAATAACATAATTGAAAGTTCTTTTTGCCATAAAGTACCGTACAGAGAAGAGAGTTTATTATTAGTCACTCTTCTGTCCTTCTAGAAACTGAGGGCAGAAAAAGAAATGGAGTGTTGAGAACAATAACAACAACTCCTTCTTGTGTAGGGATCGGCAGAGGGCTTGGAGCTGAGGTTTCATTGACAGCCACTTTCCCGTGAGAAAATTCCCTCCATCCATACAGGTTCACCCCTCTTCTGCAAGTTAGAGGGTTGCTTATTGCACTGAGAGATTAAGCTGCCTGCCAGGGTCACACACCCAGCGTGTGTCAGAGGTGAGCCTTGAGGCTGGGTCTTCTGGCTAGGAGGCCAGCCTCCTATTTGTGATGTCATGGGGCAACAGTCATCCTTACATAGCACTTTTGACAAATCCTTCTAGTTACAGCCCTGTGAGTTAGATGGTGTGGGTGTTATTACCCCCATTTTACAGATATGGAAACTGAGGTTCAGAGATGAAGTGACTTGTCTGTGGTCGCACAATAAATTACGAATCCGTGATTCAGCTTCAAGTCTTCTGACTCCAAATCAAGGATTCTCAACCTGGAATAGGCCAGTTGGGGTTTGACCCAAAGGACTTAAGTGCTTCCAAAGGTTGTAAGAATTGTTTCAGAGTCCTTTCTGAGAATACTTAAGAGAAGAATGGCTTCCTCTCTGGGGACAGGGCTGACATCAGGAGACCCCGGGGAATGGAAGGGTTGTAGAGACCAGTACAATAGGGTGGACTGGGTGAGGAGCAGATACCATCCTGATCACAGTCCCTTCGTCCCAGACCAAGTGCTGCTTAAGGGCTAGGGTTCCCAGGATTGAGGACTAAGGGGACACTTAGAATACAGAATGTCAGAGCTTAGAAAGGCCTTAGAACGTGGAATGTCACAGCTGGGAGAGAAACGTTAGGACACAGAATGTCAGAGCTGGGAGGGCCCTCAGAACACAGATTGTCAGAGCTGGTAGGGCCCTCAGAACACAGATTGTCAGAGCTGGTAGGGCCCTAAGAACACAGATTGTCAGAGCTGGGAGGGCCCTTAGAACACAGAATGTCAGAGCTGGGAGGGCCCTTAGAACACAGGATGTCAGAGCTGGG